GGTGTCCTGCTTGACTCTTGGCCCCATTGCTGATCCCTCTCCAATGACCTCTCCTGCACCAGAATGAAATGTCTCTGCCCAGCTTCACTTGAAGCGGAGCCTGGGGATGCCTGCAGCCAGATGTGCGCCAAATGAGAGTGGCAGCCATGGTCTGATGGAAGTTAGAGTGAGCAGGAATCTGAGCACCTTATAGGTCAGAGGGCCTATTCTGTCTTTCCCCCTGGCTACACACAAAGTGGGGGCAGTGCTGGGGATGCAGGCTGGTGTGTGGATGGCTCCACATCTAGCATGGATCCAGCACAGCAGAAAGGGTGGGCCAATGTCCTGTAGATTATAGATCTGGGAGACTTCACAGGGCGTGGACCATGGTGGCTCTGGCTTCACGTCCTACTTTTGCCTCAATTTGTAACTGAACACACTGGCAGGCACAGCATGCTTCTTCACTTTGCCAATGGTGTTCCCAGTGGACCCTGTATGCACTGGCTTTCTGCTGAAGCACCAGTTCTACCTGGAGCATCTAGAAACAGGAAAATAAGGCCAGCACCTAGGGCTTCAACTACCTGTTGTGTGGTAGCCTTCCAGAGCTCAGCCAGCTGAATGAAGAGAGCACCTGGGCATGGATCAGTTGGAGCAGTCGTTTGCGGAAGCACAACATGGTGGAGACATGTTCCATCAAGGTCCTTCGCAAAACTACAATATTGATAATTAAAATTACAGTTCATGTGGCTGAAGTTCAAGTGGATAGCAGCTTTAAGACAGAAGGGCAGCACAGGCCATCAAGGAATGCATGGAGTAATATTAAGTGCAGCTTTAATTGGTTTTAGTATTGAAATGGTTCCTGTTTCAGAGGGACCTGAATGAGTTTTGATAAGTGGAGTCAGCTCGTGCAGCCTCACTCTGATGGCTATTAGCTTTCTCCAGTTGCATCCATGAATTAATGCCCAGAGACCTAATGAGAACCTGAATTTTTTAAATTCTATGGAAGAAATCTCAATTAGAAAATTAGTATTAGGATAAAAGAAGGTGTCTTTATCACCAAGGTCATGAAAGCCATGACCACTGGGTGCAATCAGGATGCTGTGCTAAGGAGTCCCTGCTGCAGCAAACAATGTTGGTAGGAATTCCTACAGCTCATGCAGGTGAAGTGTTCAACTCAACTACATTGTGCTCTGTACAGTCTTGTGGGAAACCAACAAAAGCTTTATTTCCAGGGTTTCTGTTTTCATATGTTAGGCAAAGAAAGTGTTCAAAGTTAGCTCAAACAGGTTAAACTTCTGCAAAAACAGTTCCCATCATCAGTTTACATTACGATAGCTTAAACCTAGGTTATGTCACTAGGATTAACCGAAATAGTTGAAATTCAGAATTTTGTCAGAATTTATTGGCTAGTCATTTACATTTCTCATGTGGGCAGAAAGTTCCAGGGAAGTTAACAAATGTATTCTGATCTGGGGTATAGTTTTGTTCTTGGCTAATCTATTCACTTGAGTACCGATGCTTATTGGGAAAGCATGAAAGCACCTCCAAGGTGTCACTGGGGGAAAAGGTTACTCTGGGCAAGGAGGCCCTCTGCCTCTCTTTCCTGGAGTCTCTGTTCAACAGATTCCCATAGGCCTCTGTCCTCCCAGCTAACCTGTAATTCCACAGTTCTTGGTCATGTCATGTGACCACTTATGAGATCCCACCCCTACCTATTTAGAAAGTACTTTAGAAATGATCGTGAGTCACTAAGGAAGTGATCATCTACCACAGGTGGGTCAAGGCCCAGAACTGAAAACAAGGTCACCCTCCTCACAGGTGCCTGACTCTGTCCAAGCCTGGCTTCTCTCTTCAACTCCTCTGCACCATTTATGTTGTCACTCTCTGGAAACAACATTGATTCAGACATGCTGCCTTTTACCACATCTAGTGCTTATCAGTTCAGTAAAGAAGCATCGACTTCTCTGACGGCCAAATTAACCACTGTCTAGCTGACATCTCATAGCAAACCTCAGTCCATGCCTTCCAGAATGATGATCATGTTAACCAAACATCAGACCAGGTTCACCATATGTCTGCTGACTCTTGCGGTGGCTGCAGTTCCTTGTAGATAAGCTGCTGTCAAAGGGACTGCCTCACTGAATGTCCATCATTCATCATCCCTGGCCATCTCCTCCACCCTGCGGTCCAGTGTGCATCTGTATTGTAAGTGGCATAACAGCATGAAATTATCCATGAAAGGCTCTCATGGCTATTTGGAAGCTGTGAGCAGCAGAGGCAGGGGTTCCCTGTGGGCAACTGGGGACACACCAGTACATCTGGAGGAAGAAAATACACACACACACACACACACACACACACACACACACACACACACGATAGCCTGCCTATGAGCCAGAACAGACAGTGGCTCTGCTATACCCTTTATCCTTGGTGCCCATGGGGATCCAGAGCAGTGCCAGCAGGTGAGCCTGTGGCTGGGCCCACAACCATCACTGTGCATGTCTGTGTGTGTGATGGTGATGTTGGATCCCAAGAACAACCTGTGCTCACCTGTGAAGCCTTACAAGGCATGGATGATATCTACTTTCATGTTTGTTTGAAACTTTGGAACCTTTTTTCTTTATAAATATTGAAATTTATAATTTGTGCAATAAATTAGACTTTAAAATTTATTTTCATATTTTCACATGTTACATTTAAGGAAGTGGCTTTTCTCTTTTAAAAAAATCAAGCTCAGATCCTTTGCCAAGTTGCATTTTTAAGATGGGTTCATTGTGTCAGCTGCAGTCAAATGGGCATTGTCAGAGGTTCTTGGAAGCTTCAGTTACATGATCTTACTTTTGGTCAGATATGAAGCTAACTGCCTGGAGGCTTCTGGGGGTTTCAGCCCCAGAGCTTGGGACAGGGTGCTCAGCTCTCATCCTGTTCTGACTGCAGTTCTAGCATTTTGATTTTATTCTTTCAATCTTGACAGAAAATCCAGCATTGAAAGTGCCAGAAGTAGAGTTTTTAAAAAATATTTATTTTTATTGGAAAGTCAGATACAGCAATCTAGTCAACTGTAACCCCAAGAGGAACAAATGGTCATTACCCTGAAGTCCATCCGTTAAGCTGAACAACTATATCTCAGCTTCCCCAACAATATGTTATCCTAAGAGACATACAACAAATAACCTGGGCACACTTACAAATCTGCAGATATTCACCCTTTTCCTGGTTTCTCTGTCCACATTCCATTATTGCCAGGTCTCACCTCTCCTGGAACTCTCAAAAGTACACGCATTAGACATACAAAGCATCTTAGCATTAACATCTTCACTGTCCTGCCCAAGCAGTGAACAGAGGGTGAGAACTACAGACATACAGGGCCCATGCTTAGGTGTTACCTGTCCTCAGAGTCTGTCCGTGGGAAGCCAGAGAGCAAGCAGGTACTGGAGAGTGCCAGTGATGAGACACACAACCAAGAGAGTGAGCCCTCCCTATCATGAGCCTTTATAGGGGCTTGTGAGAGGGTGGTTCTACAGCCATGCAATACTGCTCCCTCTCAGGTTCCAGGTGGTGAGAGCTGAGCATCACAGCTGGGCAGAAGGGAACACCTAGGTGGTGATGGGGGTTCCAAGTTTGTGACCCTGAACTAGCTGCCTACCTCACTACAGATCATTAGCATTAAATGTTAAAAAGGTTTTAGGAAAATTAAGCTTATAATGAAGAAAACTATTAGCAGAATAGAAACTACTAATTTCCTTATAATTAAGACAGGATACCATGCATCTATAATGACCAGTATTACCAATATATAACCCTAGACAAGATGTCTTCTCACTTTGTCTCTTGTTGTGAATGCATGATCAGGTGTTGGGATGGGATTTATCCCACCACCTTGAACAGAAGAGTTCTACACGAGATAATGCAAAGACAAAGGAACTATTGCTAGAGCGCTAAGGTTCAAGACTCATCCAACACAGTGGAGTCTTGACAAGGACCCCGACCATATACTTCACATAATTCATACAGGGTTTTGGCTGCAATTCTAGGAATGGGCCATTGATTCTACAAACAGACATTGGCAAGATTGTAATTGGTCAGTTTGTATCACTCTTGACCGCTCTGGTGGTGACCGCTCTGGTGGTGACCGCTCTGGTGGTCAGTCTTTCTTCTCCGTGCCCACCCAGTGGTCAGACTCTATCACATGACCACCTGATGACTTGGGACCTTTCAAGTCTCCTCTGATTCGTTGGCTCTGTTTAGGGTGTGTGGTGGCCCACGTTGGGGAATCGGCTGCCTCAATTCTAGGGATGGAAACTTAGGCTTAGCCTGTCGGAGGCCTGCCAGAGGCCTGTCATGGCTTTAGCTTGGTTCTCCTTACAGCAAGCGAAGCAAGCTCTCATTACCGCAGCCAGAATTAGTGGTTAGCTTAGCCATTGATCAATCAGCATCACTTTAATATCACTTCTCCTATATTCTAATTACCATTATTTATCCAACTCGCTACTAATTGCTATCTCTTAACATTTACATGTGTGCTTAAATCACCTTATTCCTAGTTACCCATTTAAAGCTATCCCTAATGTTTTCTTCTAATATGTGCATATTTTTGCCGCTAAGTTGATTTTCTTTATCGCCAGACTTCATTTAACTATTTCTTAATACTACTCCCCAATATTGTTCCTTGTTAGTATCATTCTAGTACTATTTATCTATTGCTTAGCACACTATTTTCTTAATTCATGTATCAGCACACTTCAGTACTACTTAGCTCTTATTTTAGTTTCTCAGTCTCACACAGGAAATTAAACAGTCAGGAAGTTGCACGCATAGTGGTCAAGTTTTAAGAAGTATAAATTTATATTAATAATCCTTTTATGTATGGAGGTAATCCAACAGAAACCAAAACCAAAAACGATGAGATACTTATGCAAGTTACTATGTACTAATACGAAGCAGATATGGAACATTAAAATACAGATCAGGAAATTAACACTAGTAAGATAAATGAGATTGAAAAGATTAACGTATACACTGCATTTTCAAATGTTCTTCAGTCCTGCATTTTACAAAGCCAGCTGGGCAGCACAGAGGCTGGCGCCACAGTGAAGCTGAAGTGGTGTGGAGTCCAGAGGGCACAGCCCGCCCTCAGCAGCCCAGAGAGCACCTGCATCCTCCTGGGGCCGCCATCTCGGCCCCTCCCTCCGCCAGGCCATCAGCAACCTGCATCCTCCTGGGGTCGCCATCTCGGCCCTTCCCTCCTCCAGGCCATCGGCAACCTGCAGCCTCCTGGGGCCGCCATCTCGGCCCTTCCCTCCTCCAGGCCATCGGCAACCTGCAGCCTCTCCCGCCGCACCGGCCTAGCATCACCCGGTGCCGCCTCCCCCCAGGCCCGCCCGCCCCGCGCAGGTGCACCTCTGCTTGTCGGGTCTGCCCTTGCTGTGCATTTCCGCAGCAAAGCGAGACAGGAAATCCACCCGCCTGTGGTCGCTGGCCTGTCCGCGCCAGCACTGTCCGTTCTCACAGCGACCCTGAGCGGCCCTGGGAGCACTGGGGCCTCGCGTCTCCCAGGCAGCAGCACTGCGTCCTCGGGTCTCCCAGGCAGCAGCTCTGGGGCCTCGGGTCTCCCAGGCCGCCCCGGCGCCGCAGCGTCTTCCTGGGGCTCTGGGCGCAGGGCTCTAGCCAGGACCTGCAGTGCCTAACGCAGAAGCTCTGCATTTGAACATATTTATTTCAAATATCTAGTCGGCATTTCCCGCAAGAAAAAAAAAAGTCAAACGACCTAACGGGAAAGGGCTGATACAAGGGAGAAAGAATCTGCTGCAGGCTCAGTGAAGGTTGGCACACTTTTCGGAATTCGCTGACAGGGCAGGAGAGCCGCCGGCAGGCGGACTTCTCTGAGCCGACAGCGCCCCCTGCCGCAGGGAGGCTCAAGCTTCAGCGCTGAGGCAAATCTCACTCCCTCTTCCGCCCTCACACCCGTGTGATTCTGATTGGCTGCGCCTCCTCTGACGGTCTGCGAACGGTCCAATCACGCGCGCCCAGGAAGCCCTGCGGAAGCACAAGGGGTGTTGTTTCCTGGTGCCGCCAAACTGGACTTCCTAGTTTTGTTTTGGGAGAATCCCGGGACAGTGGAGCCGCTGCTGCCGTGACCGTCCTCTGCCCGTGAGAGACCCCCGGCTCTGCAGCCCCTGCTGCCCGTGACCGTCCTCTGCCCGTGAGAGGCTCCAGGCTCTGCAGCCCCTGCTGCCCGTGACTGCTCTGCCCGTGAGAGCCCCAGGCTCTGCAGCCCCTGCTGCCCGTGACCGTCCTCCAGCTCAGGCGCCCTGGGAAGGACGCCCGACTCCTTAGACGCTGGGAAGTGGTGAGTGTGTGAGAGCGTCTCCTCAGGCCCCAGGGCGGGAGGGGGGCCAGTAGCCAGACCTTGGTGGCCTCACTCTCCGTTATTGACCTTGAACCTTCAGGACTCACATTTTTCCAAATCGTGCGGAGGGGAGGGGAGAGTGTCCAGGGACAGTTCCAACTTCATGTTGGGCTGGATTTTTAAAAAATTGGTCCTAATTTTGTTGCGAAACAGCGTGTGGAGCCCACAGCTAAGTCCTCAGTGTAGCTCCTCCTAAGGGGCTCACAGTCACCTTGTTCCAATGTCAGACCAGCACAGACCCCAGCAGTTTACCTCACAGCTTTGCTCCAAGGTTGAGGGGCAGCATCGGGTGATGGCTTTCTGGTTGGCAGAAGCCTGGGGTGGCACAGAGACCTTGCAGACAAATAATGGGGTGCAGCAGGGACTACCCCAAAGGGGCTTCTATGGAAGAACCGAGGAATAAGCCATTCAGGTACAAGCTGTCTGGCTCGATTTATCCTGATGGCTTTTGATATGGTGCCACCTGTCCCCACTGCTTAAGTTCTCGTAATTGGGAATGAACGTCCCATGAATTTTGGAGGGGGATAAGTCAGGTTCTGCAGAGAGCATTGAGGCGGGGAACAAATCCCTAAATGTCCAGAACTGCTCATAATGCCAAGAGCTGACTTCTGCCCTGAAAAATCACAACACAATCCACTGGTGCCCCAAGATACATTTCATTCAACTTTAGTCATTTATCTTTGTTTTTCCCCCACAAAATAACCATTAGCTATTGTCCCGTCCAGCAGGACAGTCAACAGGGGTTGCAGCCAACCTAGGAGAGAATGGGGGACAAGAGACACAAGAAATGGACAGCAGGACAGTATGTCTGATCAAGCTGACCAAATTTTATTTTTCACACACAAGCCTTTGTACTCTGCAAAACAGGACCTATGGGTGAGGAGAAGAGGAAGTAGGGTCCGGGGGCTTTCACAGCTCTTTCTGAGTCGCGATTTCTAAAACTCCCTTATGCTTGCAAGAGAATGCTGGCAGGTATTTCTAAAACCCCCTTATGCTCACAAGAGGATGCTGGCTGGTAGGGCATAAGCCAGCATCCTGTTATGAGCACCAAGGGTAGTCAGAGCAGGGTGGGTTGCTAGGTAATCTGGAAACTGCAGGGTGTCTTAAGACTTGGTTCCTCTTGCATTTGCTAACTGGTATTTTCCACTGACCTAGATCTATATTCAAAATGGCTTCAGTATGGCTATAGTACATGGCTCCCAACAAGCTCTGGAAAAGGACTGTTTTCTGTGACCACTAGGCATAAGAGAAAAGCAGTGGCTGCCCACCTGACACACACAGTAAGCTATCATTGCCCTGTCTGAGTGTGACAGTGCTTAAGATGACATTTGGGACTCACATGGCTTTATCAGAATGTATAGGTTCCAGTTTTGTTCAAATGCAGTGTGAAGTTAATGCACATAGTGGCTTAGGTTTTGAAAATTCTCATTTATTTTCAGTCTTGTTGCTTCAGCCTGGTCCCAGCCTTGCCGGTTGCAGGCATGAGGAAAGTGAGACATTGGATGAAAATGTCTGCCTTTATCTCTGTGCACAGTAAATAACATTAGATGAAGCTTAAAGGTCTTGGTACATCTCCCTTTTACCTAACTGAAGTGCAGACACTTTATCAGAATGCTCTCACTTTGTGATTCCCCTTGGAAAATTTGCATGTTTCTTGATAATACCTTTCTCTTTTTGTTTTGCTGAGTTTGAAAAACCTTTGTAACAAACATGACCAACTTATCTTGACTCTCTCATTGCCTCTGAAAGATAGCAGTACAATGATAGAATGCTGCCCTAAAGCTGGAGGGCATCTATTGTGTTCCCTCTGTTTTGTATGGTTAGCCCCAGGCAGTGTTAATACTTTCTTTCTATTCCTTGCTGACATATTGGTATCAACTAATTAGAAGCTGATTACTTAAGGGGCAACGCAGAAATAATTGATGCCTAGGTTCACTTAGCCTTGCCTAAGGAGTGAAACCTTTGCAAAGACCCAGGTAAATCCTAGGACAATGTGGTTGGGATATACAGCAGTTTCATTTTACACCCACAAGTGGATTCAGTCAGAGGCAGTTTGTACCAACAAAGGATTTTTGTTAAAGTGGAATTTTTGTGGCCTGGAGTATTTACAAATTTGTGAATGTATTTGACTGGTTTAATAAAAAGTATCTGTTGTGCTCAATATCTGGTGCAAGGATCTGAAGACCATGCAGGTTTACTGAGACAAGAGAGTCACCCTGACTCTATGGAACTTGGACCTACCAGACCCTAGATAAGCTAAGGAGATAGCTCTGGGTGGGGTCCCTAGATGAATTCTTAAAGGTGACAAAACCCAGAAAGAGCTAACACTTGTTGTCCGCTAATTTTATCCTGCACCTGTGTATAGAGGTTGAGCCTTGACTCCGTGGACCCTAGTAACACTAGATGATGAAATAATTGACTTGTTTTGAAATTGGTGGTAAGTTGGTATTAAGCAAACATAACACATCTGATAATACTAATAAAAAAAAAAATCTCAGCAGTCACAACCAACACTTGGTTTTGAATGTGTGGTTGCAGCAGAGAGCTAAGATGCTAGACACTCCAGGCTGTGAAGAGTTTCCAGGACCAGATTTGTTACATTTCTGGCTGCCTAGAATTCGGTCAATCAGTGAAGTGAGCCCCCAGGGCACTGTGTCCTCAGAGTGATCCCCAAGGCCTGAGAACTTGGGTAAGTTTCTGAATGGAACTCCCTGTGAAGTGTAAGGCTGCTTCCTAGGGTTCATTCTCTGTCATGTCCTTGAGCCTTGATTTACATGGATCACTTATGTAGGATTTATTGCCCTGATTTGAATGTTACATCGTTTTTCTCTTGAACAGAACCCGAATTTATTCAATAAGCCCAGCAAAAGATAAGACAATTCTTGACAACTTTATTTTCTGTCAAGTTTTCAGTAACACTGTAAACAATGTAAACCTAATGCCTGGGTGAGGAAAAAGCATTTTGAGTTCAAGTCTTGGTCTTTTTCACCTGGGTCTGCAGAGGTGACTAAGTCCTGGTTCTATCTGATGTGTTTGATTTCCTAAAATTTATTTCTTCATTAATGTGATGGCACAGCAAATCAAGCTGCTACCTGCATATCTGTGCCAGTTCAAGATCAGGCTGCTTCTTACAATTGCGCTCCTCACTAATAAATGTGGGAAAGCAGCCTAATGTGTCTCAAGTGCTCGAGTCTCTGCCGCTGGCAGGACACCCAGAAGAAGCTCTAATTTCCTTGCTTTGGCATGGGTCAGCAATTGCTGTCACATATGGAGTGAAACAGCAGATGGAATATTTTTCTCTGCATTTCAAATAAGTAAATACACTTGATCTTAGCCAAAAGGCCAAGAAGCGATTCAAATAAGCAAATAAACCTTAAGATATATATTTATTTATTTTTCAGTGAAAGTTGCAAATTAGGAGAGACAAAGATCATCTATTGAGTGTAGGAGGACATTGTGACCCTACAAGGTCAGCGAACACAGGATTACAATTTGATTGGATAATATTTGCATGAGAACAATCAAATGGCTACCTTTTCTATTCCTGACTGGATATTATTTGTATAAGAGCAGTTGAGTAGACAGTGTGTATATAAGAACACTTGGTAGAATATATAAGACAAAAGGAGTTCCAAACAAAAGCATAGAAACTGTTGATGGGTTTTGTTGATAAACTCAATTCTTCCTCCATTATCTCATATGATCCTCAGTGTATAAAGTCTGGTGCCACTAATAATCCTCAGCTTTGACCATCAGTCAGGGTCCACGTGTGTTATCAGTGTGTTATTATTGGCTCCGTGCACCAAGTCCATTGCTGCGGAACAGCGACAATCCAGTGCTTCACTCCCCCAGTGGCCAAAATGACCAGTGCTGGACCAAGC